CAGCATACTCGTTCGCATAGTATACTCAGATTGCTGCTCTTTCGCCGGGTTTTGTGTGGGTTCGTTGGAAAATGTTTATGGGGGGCTATAAAATGCAGCTGGGAAAAACGCTACAAGGTCCCACACATGAATTTTTGAAGGCGGACACAACCGCTTTTTATGCAACCGTTAAAAGTCTCTTATTAGTTTCACTCAAATATTTACCAATAACTCGTTTCGTTTGATTTACATGCTATGTTTACACATATATATATATAAATTTACTTGCTTTTAAAAAAAGAGCTATAAGAAACATCAACATGAAATATTCTTTTATTCAAATATATTTAAAACATATTTTTTGACCATAAAATCTTATGAGTTTAGTTTAAATTGTCTTCCTATTTTTTAAATTTAAAAGTGAAACTATATAGAAATAATATTTATCAATTTATCATTGCTTTAGTATATTTATCAAAGTTTGTTTTATTAAATGAATAATTGCACATAAATGAATATAAAATACTTTGAGAAGTTTTCAACAGTCGCTTCAAATTGTTTTCTTTATTTTGTGTTTTTTATTGCATATGCTTCATTGTTATAATTAATTTTCCACACTCTGTTTATTTTGCCCAGTACAACATTGTTTTTTGCATCACTCTTCGCACTGGCACTTATTTTACTTTTAACGTCATCAACTTTTTTCATGACTCTTTCGACTCTTTCTGTTGTTGATCGAACATCCTTTGTGCTGGGTAATGATTTGCCATAGGAAAATAAAATGGTTTGAGCAGGATGTGTTATTTTATGTGTCGATAGCTTGCGAAATAATTCCGCAAGTGATTTGCAGACAAAGTCGGAAAATGCAATCATGGCCAGCTAGGATACGGAATACGGACACGGATATGTGGCAAACAAGCCTTTGTGGTCCAACCGCAAAGGCAAACGCAAACAGAAACACACACACCCACACACACCCACACACACTTACGGAAACGTGGAGGTAAAATCAACAATAACAAAGTATCCTCCTCAAGCATATGCACTTGTCAGTGGCATCTTCTCTGGAGTGTCAGCCCATAAAAGATGCATCCTAACCCAGCCCAGTCCTGTCCAACTGGCGAAACCGAATCCTTGGCCCAGCCCACTGGATCCGAACACGTCTTTGTCAGCTGTCGGCTTTGGTTGCAGTTTAATGGAGCGAAAAAAAAAACAAACACCCCATTGAAATGGGCAAAAAAGTTCTCATTTTTTTAAAGTCCCAGCACAAAGGGAAAAATTCTGAACTGCAATTGGAAGCCTGATAGTTAAAGTCCCATTATTAAATTGTGAAGTGCTTGCAAGATATTATTAAGTTAACCACAAAAGAATCATGTTCTGTTTTGAAATTGATAATCAGATAGTTAAAGTCTTATTGAAATCATTGCTTTAGCAGGCTTAGGCTTTTGGCAGAACTTTAATTAAAGGCTTGATTCTGTTTTGCCAATGGAAACCTAAACTCTGAACTTATTGATTACCAAATCGAACAGCTTAATTGAGTTTAAATATCAATAATAATGAAATTAAAATTTAGTTTTATTCTTAATGTTGTAAAGTAAATAGTTTAAAAACAAAAACAATTTATTTTTAATAGAAAATATGGTTTAATTTTAGATTTTATAATAATTGCTTACTTTTTTACCTTTATAACAGCCTTAGCATTTACCAACACAAAAATTAACCACCTAATGTATTGGTAAAATGTGTCATTTAAGGTAAACTTATAAATGTCCCACAAATGTTATAAAATATTAAGAAATTATAATTGTTTTTTTCGATGCATTCGCTTGGTGGCCATTGAACAATTGAAAGACAACTCGAGATGTAATCACAGAAAATTACGGGAAAGTGCGCGAAGCCGCAGCCTGAATCCGGGCATTGGGATCCGGAATCCGGAATCCGGATTGCAAATGCAAATGCAGCTCACGAATCGATAATACGGCGGATGGGGCGGGTCCATCCCCTCACATTTCCCCAATGGGCATTTAATGAGCTGTGAACGCGTTCACAAAGCGCCTGCATTTGGCGTCCTGCCCAAGGACCAACAACAATGGCAATGTAACGACAACGGGCCAAGAAGAGAAACAACAACTCCAGTAATTTGCACATAAATTATGCGAACATACCACGTACACACCACGTATACGCCCCGTTCGCCAGACTTTTCGATATTAGCACGGCAAAGAAAATGTCAAAAACAATTGACATATTTATAGAGCAGCAATATTTTAAATATGCAAGCCCCAAGCATAATTCATTTTAAATACAACTAGAATTTAGTAATTAAATATCCGGCTTAAAGGAGCAAATGTGTGTGTCAAAATAGTGTCATGATTTCAGTTAATCAAAACACCTTAAATTTAATTAAAAAAAAACATTCCCAACATTATTAGGTAATGTATTATTCCATAAAAACGTTCAAGGCATTCAGTGGAAAATTACTTACCTACCAGCTCCGTTCGTTTTCTGTCCACTCCCATTGTTGGCACCGACAATTGTCACACCTTTTTATGGCCAGGCTCGCATTAATAGCTAATGAAGGAACATCAACGGCCCAGCCACATGGCAGTGGGGCAATAAAAAAGGCCGCAGGACGAGGGACAATTGGCCGCCACCAAATGCCAGACAATTTGCTATTGTCTCTCTCTTTTTGTGGCCATAAATTGATGTTGTCCCGTTCTGTAGAGAGTTTTCTCTGTGGTTTGCCCAGAGTATTCCTTTTCCGTATGCTGTTTCCACATTGGCAATTAATTTGCCAGTTTTTGGCATGTATCCGGTAAACTTGTTCGCATGTATTTCCAACTTTCGTCCCTGACAGCTTCTGGTTAATGCAATGTTCGTATGAAATATGTCAAAATTTTGCTTGCGGCTATCGATTTAAATGTGAAGGGGCTTTGTATTTAACAGCTAATTAAATAGGTCACAGAAAAGCGATTTCATTTTATTTCCTCGCAGCAGGTTTTGTTTTTTGTGAACGGATAATAACTATTAATTAGAATTCAGGAAAATAGGAAAATTATAATATTCATTTTCATTTAAAAGCACTTGCAGCTACAATGTTTAAATAAATAATTAAATTCGTTTTAAACCATACCTAAAGTTAACATTTATATGCAATACTTCATTTACAGACATTAATTAAATATTTAATTGACAAATAAATGCAAATATTTATTCATCAAAAATAATTTGCAAACACTTATCGGAAATAAAATAAATATGCAGAAAAAGCAACTGAGGTGAATTGAACTTAAATTGTTGCCCAACTTTTTATTTACCCAAAGACGAGTGTCGCCAAACCTGTCATCAAGTTGAGAAACATCGAACATCGAGTTAAAGCTGAATGATTTGATGACCCCCCATTAAGTTGGTGGAACTAAACCAAATTCACACAGTTCAAAACTTCTTGATGGCTCGTCAACAGAGATCAACTCAGTTGGCACTTTTCCAGCCATAAATTGGATTTAACAACCGACGAAAATAAAATATATATGCATGACCGGTAATAAAACTGCAACGATCTCTGGTTTTGGACAAAGTTTGTCCTCGACTGGCGAATGTTGTGTTGTTCTGCAGCCCGGCCAAACTTATTTCAATTAGCACTTTCGCCTTCACACGTCACCCGAGGAAATCCCCTTTTCTGTTTTCATTTGCCACTTGCCACTTGCCATTTGCCATTTGCCATTTTCCATTTCCACATTTGCACAGCCAAGTGCATATCAATTTTTAATTCAATTTCAGCACAAGCAATGCCATTGATTGCGAGTGTAAACCACTTCGGGGACTACGGCCGGAATCGAATTTGCAAAGTGCGAACGGGATCAGGAATGGGAATGGGATTGGGAACACGAACCGAAACCAAAACCAGAACCAGAACCAAAACCATCTCCAAATGCACAGCCCCAGAGTCCTTCGATAAGAAATCCGAGTCCTGGCTAAGTGGAAATTGAGTGGAGGCAGGGGATTATGTGGGCAAAAAGGGGCGGCACTTTGTGCCCCGCATGCAATATGCATTAAAATAGTTTAGCACACTTCTTCCAGGGTCACTGTCACTCTTAAAGAATGGGAAAAGAAATATAAGTAAAATCACACGGAGATGTATTAAAAAAATTAACAATGCACCCGGAGAAAAATTGTGGTAAATCCAAATATTTGCTCTCTGAATTAAATGTTTTTGGTACTGATTTCGACCCCAGGTGTGTTGTGCTTAAATCATAGTGTGTTACACATTGATTTTAACTTTTTGGTATGGAAAAATTAAATTTTAAATTAAAAATAAAATAAATAAAATCTAAAATTTTCCTATTGGATACACCTAATTGGTTAGTCACTGCATTATCATGTTCTTGATTTATTTTAAGTAAGTTTATATATTTCGAAAAACATTGCTAGGTTCAAATATATTAATGTTACCATCATGTTTTTATTTGGGTGTAATAAATTACACTTTACTATTTGCAAAATATTCGACCATTAGTTTAATTAAAGCGAAGGAGGTCCGAAAACAAGGCGCAGCCTAATGCAATTAACCAATTAGAGGCGAAGCGGGCAAATGTGAAATATGAAATTAGAGTGAAAGGCCATCATCGCACAAGCAAATATTCGTGTGGTTGTATTTGTCTATTATAGTTTTTGGCAAAAAAAAAAAAAAATATTTGGCAATGACCAAGTAATTTTTAATTAAATTAAAAAAGCTTTTAAGCGTGTATAAAGGTCGCACTCTTTTGAGAAACTAATTTATTTACAAAGTTATCAATTAAATTAACAAGTGGTCTTAACTTTATTTATTTCAAGCTGATTAGATTGCATTTAAAATTGTACTTACAATATTGCAGCAGATGTTTCAAAGAAAATGTTTGCCATTTTAGAGCAGGTATAAAAAACTTGTTGCACTTGTTTGAATACATTTTTAAGATAGAACATAAATAAATCATATAAGTAAAATCAATACTAAATGGTCATTGTGTTTTGTGATATTCCAGGAACTGGTGGCCATTTCTCCGGAGCGCCGCAACTGGCGAGGCATCTTCATCGCCCTGCTGGTGATCGCCGCCGTCTTCAGCCTGATCATATTCTCGATCTTCCTGCTGTCGCCAGAGGACGAGGGCCTGAGGATCCGGGGACGCCGCATGCTGCCCAGCGACATCCTGGGCAGGAGTCTGCAGTGGAAGCCCTTCAACGGCACCTGGAGCAATGGTCTGTTCTTATTTAAACATATATATTATATTAGATGTCTTTATAAATCGTATATATATATATTATATTTCGCAGGTCGTGAGCTCATCTATCGCGATCCCACGGGCGGCCTGTCCATACTCAATATGGCCGATCTCACCACACGCATTCTTATGACCAATTCCACATTTGTAAGTTCAGTCTGCCGTCTGTATTTATAGTATTTATTTAATTTCACATCGATTGATATATCCATTCGCCAGCGCCAACTAAATGCGGAGTCGTTTCTTGTGGCACCTGACCAAAAATACGTGCTCCTCCAATCGGACACCAATGCCGAGGGCTCTAGGTGGGTTCCTTAATCCTTTTTTACGTTTTTTGTTGAAATACCATATATTCAAATTAAATGGAAAGGAAATCCATAACTTTTGTTGATCATTTATTTCCCTTTTTTTGTTGAAACATTACCTTAAAATATTTTAAATATATTGTCAAACTTAATTAAATATGAAAGTCACGAAAATATTTTTCATTATTTTTTTTTGTTACTATCACTTAGTTATTTTGTTTGTTCAATATACCTATTTTTGTAACCTGCTAAAATTTAAATCAAATATTTATTTATTGTTGAATCATTAATTGATTTTTTTTCTTGCATACAAAATTACAATAACATAACATACCATTGCAGGGTTATAATAGTACCTCCCATTAAATTCAAGACATTAATTTGAGTATATATAATTGGCTCAATATTTATGCATTATTTGTGAATTTTTGATAATTAGTTAAACTTTAAATGGGAACATTAAGATCTTTATTTGCTCAAAATCGCATTAAATATTTATCAGTTGACGTTGGAGCACGAATGTAATTTAACTGAGTTGCTTGCCTCCTCTCGTTTGGGACAGACATCACGTATACGAGGTGCAGACGGCCAACACATTTCCGCTGGGACCGACGGAGAACATTGCGGAGGCGCCACGCCTCCAGCATGTGGTGTGGGCGCCGGTGAATCCGCCACCACCATTGGCCGCTCCACCACCCAGTGGTGCAGCATCCAGCGCCACCGCCACCGCCACACCCACCGGCACATCCACCGCCACGATGGCTCCACTGCCCAGCGGCAGCATAATCCTCAACAGCCTGGCGGGGGCGGCCAATGGCCCTGGATCCGCGGGATCGCCCGGATCCTCCACAGCCGCAAATCCCAATGGCAAGGTCACCGGTTACACACTGAACCAGGCCATCGCCTTTGTGCACCACAACGACATATACTACAAGCCCAAGGTGCAGGGCGAACTCGTCTGCCGGATAACGCAGTCCGGATCGGGATCGGGATCGGGAACGTCGGAGGGCGAGTCGCTGGGGGGCGTGGTATTCAATGGAGTGCCCGACTGGACCTACGAAAATGTGCCCGAGCTGGAGAGCCGGCGGACCAGCATGGAGTTCTCCCCGGATGGACTCTATTTGGCCTTTCTCAGCTACAATGACAGCGAAGTCAACGAGTACAAGTGAGTGCAGCTATATAATATGACAAAAAAAAGAAGACTACGTACGGCTATTGCTTAGAACTAAAAAATTGTATAGTTCCTTGTACAAAATATTCAAAGAAAACGCGAATTCTTTAGCTTTATTTGCTAAAATACTTAAAATAAACGCGAATTCTTAAGCTTGCGTTAACTTATCTGGGAATTTAAATGAAAAGTGTAAAAATACTTGTCTTGCATATATTTTATTAAAAAACACTATACTTTATATTTAACGTATTATTGTTATGACATTACTCTTATTCAAATAGCTACATATATAGACAAGTATATGTTTAACTGGTATTTTATTTAGTTAAAGAATGGTTTTATATAGACTTTGCTTTAAGAATAACAAAAATTTTTTTAAATTAGGTACCTTAATCAGCTGCTCAATAAGCTAACTTGGATAGTTAAAATGTAGCTTTAAGAGGGCAGAAAGAGTATTATTTTTTAAGGAGATGAGTGATGAGTGTTATGTTTGTGACCTCTGCAGATACACCTGGATGGGCGACGACATCAAGTACCCGGCGGTGATGAGTCAGCGCTACCCGAAGACGGGCTCCCGCAATCCGAACGTGACGGTGAACGTGGTCAATCTGTCGGTGATCAAGTACATATTCCCGGTGCAGATCAGGCTGCCGGCGGAGTTGGCCAACGGCAGCTATGTGGGCGGACTGACCTGGGCGTCGGCCAGTGACCTTTCGGTGACGGTGACCAATCGGGAGCAGACCAAGGCCACCACGGTGCTGTGCCGAGCGCCGCACTTCCACTGCCAGGCGGTGCACACGGAGGTGACCATCAACGATGGCTGGCTGCTGCCGTCGGAGCGACCCATCTTCTCGGCCCGCAACCAGCTGCAAAAGCAGCCGGCCAAGCTGCACATCCAGGGTGCGGACGAGTTGCTGCCCGAGAGCCACAACGTGAATGTGTCGCACGGCGGCCAGACGATGCACGAGATCAGCAATGGAGGCTACCTGCTGAAGAGGCTGCCCGTTCGCGATGGCGAGCACGGTCACTACCGCCATGTGGTCTTCATATCCTCGCTGGACCGGCGACCCGTGCCCCTGACCATGGGTCGCTTCGAGGTAACCGAAATCGTCGGCTGGGATGAGCCGCACGAGATCGTCTATTTCATGGCCGCGCCGGAGAAGAGGCCCGGCGAGCGGCATCTGTACAAGATTAGCCTGAAACTGAATGTGACCGAGTCGAACCGCACCTACATCACCTCCACGGCGCCCACCTGTCTCACCTGTGACAACAGCGAGTCCACCTACCGCCTGCATCGGGCCAGGATATCGCAGCGGGGCGATCGGTGGGAGGATATTGTGGCGCGTCTGGAGCCGGACGACTGCCTCTATGACATACCCAAGAACTGTCTGTACAACCGCGTGCAGTTCAGCCACGACTACAGCTACTATGTGCAGGAGTGCCTCGGTCCGGAGGCGCCCAGCGTGTACCTCGTGGAGACCGCCAGCAACGACAAGATCTATGTCCTCAATGCCGGCGACGTCCTGCGCCACCGGCTCTCCCAGCTGGCCGTGCCACAGTCGCGCACCTTCAGTGTGGAGATCCGACATGGCTTCCACGCCCAGGTGCGACTCTTCCTGCCGCCCGGAATGCGCGAGGAGGAGGACGTGGCCTTTCCCCTGGTGCTGCACGTGTAAGTAACCACACCACACTGCTAAAAAAAAAAAGCTAACGTAGTGAATTAAATATTTTTCGCTTTGGTTTTCATTCAGTGCGGTTTTTACTTACTTTAAAAATGGAAATATAAAACTTTTTTCTACATTTTTCATAGTTTTAATTTCTGAAAATTTAATTTAAATTCAAACCACATTTTACACAAACAAAATTCACTTTAATTAAAATAAAAACAATTTTATTTCTAATATTTTCCACATTAATCAAAATATTTAAATATTTAACCATGCGATTTATTATGAATTGTATTTATTATTAGGATTTAATATTTAATTTAAAAAATAAATATAAGATTTTGAATTCAATTGTCAGATATTTATTTTTACTATTCATTTTTATATCAGTGTACTTTCATATATTGAAAAAAATATTTATAGTAAATCCAATTCATTCATTTGATTAACTGGAGTTTTTTTTAATGTTTACTTCATGATGGATTTTTGAAATCCACAGTGATGCCTCGCCAGGATCGCAGCTGGTGACGGAGCGCTTCCACGTGGACTGGAACTGGTACTTGGCCAGCCAGCGGAGCTTCATAGTGGCCCAGATCGATGGGCGTGGCAGTGGGTACCAGGGCGAACTGCTGCGCACCCAGGTCCATGGAAAACTGGGCACCGTCGAGGTGGAGGATCAACTGGGTGTCTTGACGTAAGGAAACCAAATGAAATATGAGATATAGAGTGTGTTACAGACTTAAATGTATTCTTTAGATACCTGCGGGACAACCTGAAGTTCATCGATCCGCTGAGAATCTGCGCCTTTGGCTGGGGCTACGGTGGCTATGCCTCATCCATGATGCTCATTGACGACTCCCAACAGGTGCTCCAGTGCGCGGTGGCCATCAATCCGATTGTTAACTTTGGATTCCACTGTGAGTTCCATTTGAGACAGGTGTTGCAGAAACATCAAAAAAAAGGAATCGTACATTTAAAAACTTGTTTAAATTGCTTTTCAACTTTTTTGTTTGCACAAAAATCCCTTGGGTTCTTAAGTCATTTATAATGGCGTCTAGAAGTATGCAGTAAAGAAAAAAACGTCATCTTCTGTGTTGAATCTATCGTACTTTCGGAGTTATTATAGATTGTTGCATACTTTAAGGCACTATTATACGAGTATTTTTTTGGGAAAAAATAAAAATGTTGTATAATTTGTCTCTAAATCGGTGATCATGACTAACTAATCCTTACCCTTTCGTTCAGATTCCTTCTTCACGGAGCGCTACATACCGCTGAAGGGCGACTATTTGAGGGCTCTGCAGGAGGCGGACCTCACGATGAAGGCGGGCAACATCAAGGGGCGCAACCTGATGCTGATGCACGGAACGGCCGACACTTTGGTGCACCAGGAGCACACCCTGATGCTGGTGCGCGCCCTCGTGGAGCAGCAGGTGAAGTTCCGGCACCAGGTGTACCCCGACGAGGACCACGCCATCGCCCGCTCGCTGAGCCACGTGTACAAGACGATGGAGTGGTACTTCGACGAGTGCTTCGGCCCCGTCGACGACAACGAGTGGGACCCCACGGGTCTGTTCGTGTTTAAGCAATAATTAAGACCCCCCTACGATCCTTACGACGAGGATCCGCTGGCCAATCAGCTCAGCGACATCGACGACACAGGGTCCGCTTCCGCCTCCGCCGCAGCCGCCGCCGCCAACGATCCGGATGCGGATCCGTCCGGCGATCTGTCCGGCAGCAACCTGTCCATGTCCACCCTGCTGACCGCCGCCACGACGACCGCTCCGCTGTCGGCGCTCGACGAACTGGACAACCGGCTGCAGGCGCTCGACCTGATCACCTCCTCCACGGCCACCACCCTCAGCAAGGTGGCCGGCAAGCTCTGCAACTACAGCAGCAAACGCCGGCTCCACCAGTCGGAGGCCGTGCTCGCCCAGAAGTCGCGCATCCTCCAGCATTAGGGGATTCCGACTCACACTCTGATTCTGTAACCAATTCCGATTCCGAATCCGAATCCGACTCCTCCTCCAGGACTCTTCCGTGTGAAAGGCGTGTGTATGGTGTGTGTGTGTGGTGTGTGTGTGTGGTGTGTGTTCCAAAGTATGCAAGTCCTTTCCTTTTTTTCCCTTTTCACGCCGCAGTTTGCAGTAGTGTCTTCCATTTTAAGTCCCAAAACAAAATTTATATACGAGGCTGCCACAGAAATCACTAGGGTATAAAAATATTTTCAAAAGGTGTCTAAAAGTATGCAACAACAAATTACGTCGTGTTTCCAAGTGAATACCAAGTACTTTCAGACTCGAATAATATTGTAGCATACTTTTGGACACCCTTTTAAATAATGTCAAAAACTTAGGGATTTCTATAGCCCGCACTTTTGTTCAAAGTGTTTAAACATTTCTTTTATTTTAACTATCGTTAGGAATTTTCGTTTAGGTATTTATTCAAATAATCTGAAGGTTAAATTCTGCAAGCTTTGAAAAAACAGGTTTACTTTTTTATTTTTATTTTATATTAATTTGTATATTAATTAAAGTGCATTTTATTTCTTGTTGACAAAAGTAAAAATTGGCAAAAATAAATTTAAGTGGAGTTTTAAAGTTATTTCTGTTAAACGCGAAATATTATTATTATTTTACAATAAAGTTCCGCAAGTTTTGAAAGAAAGTGAAAATCAGGACAGATCTGATAGTGTGCAAGTGTTGATTCTCTAAAGGCATTTATGGGCTCTGTTTTTTTAAAATCAGTACTGACAGGAAATTAGATGTGAAAGCTATGCTTCCATAAATAAAATTATATGATATGCTTTGAAAAATACACTTAAACCACCTATTTGTGACTGTTTTTGTCAACTATAGTGACTACAAATCGGTTATTCGTCAACAAAAATCATAAAGGTTTAAAATAATTTCTTAATATATTTTATTGATTTGAGCCTAGTGATTTTAAATAATTTAATAGCGAGATAAAATGTCAGTACTGTTCTTTGAATAGATAAAAAAGTCACTATGAGTGGCTTTAGATTTTCCATACGAAGGATTATTCCAATGGAAAACTAATAAAAACTCGAGCACATAGTCGGGCGAAAATCGACTATATAGTTTTGATTTTAACTATGATTTCGACTGCCCGATTTGCCGGCGAGAATCGCGTGTGAATGTTTATCGAGAAACAGGGGAATAAGAAAACAAAACTAAAGCAAGGTGATTCATTTATGCGACTGATTATTAACATATGGGTATTAAATAATTAACCAAACTCATGGTGCGAGGGGGGTGACGAGGCGGTGAAATGTCGATGTCCTCAACGTAAGGATACCAATGTAGGGGATAAAGTTAAACCTAATTGCTAATGGCTACAGGCAAACCAAATACAGAGCGATATGTGTGTGTCATGTAATTCGTTTAGGCCTCATTGTTGTTTCTTTACGTGTTCGTTTCGATGTGTATAAACATATAGTTATAATTGACTGAACGTTATTTTTTTTGTGTATATATTAACGATTAAATTTTAAACGAAAGCGAAAGCGCAAGCGAAACCAAAACCTAAATCGAAATCGAAATCGAAAGCAAAATCGAAACTTATTGAAACATGTTTAACTCATGTCCAAAGGAAGGAGGTAGGAATATCTTTTAAATAGCCAACATGTTTCGAGAAACCACAGCTTACACCCTTTGAATGTTTGTGATAGTCGAGAGTAGGCGACTATAAAATACCCTGTACCCCATAGTCCCAAACCAATTGAATCGCTAAGATATAGCCTCCTTCTCCCCAGACTTTCGGTGTGCAAAAGCTTTAAACTTCATATCCATTCGAGCAGCGCCAACGCTTAATGCGTGGATACAGGGTATTTCCAGGTGTCTAGCATCCAAAACAGCATTTTTAATCTAAATATATATTGAGAGTGGATCGAAGAGATTGTGCCACACTAAAGTCAAGTCTCAGGCTTGCAGAGCCCCCTATATATCGATCAAATATAATATAATATAAGGGGACATGTGTGCTTAAGCGAGAACCAAAAACAAATGATAAAAATGGCAGAACATTTTTTTTTAGATTTTTTTACCATTAACATTAACGTTACGGAACGAATGAAATGGAAATGGAAATGGAATAACTTGTCAAAAGCCTAGGTGTTAAATGTTGCGTCAATAAGCGAAATTTTATTGTAGCGGGGCCGACGATGGGCCCCCAAATTCCGGAACCCAACTAAAACTAAGAACTCCAGATAAAGAAAACCATATAGTCAAGCTTTAAATGTTGTACACAAAGAGGGGTCGAAGCCACTTAAAACCCAAGTTAACTAAACCAAAACAAAATAAACAAAACAAAACAAAACAAAACAAAGAGAATGCCCAAACAGACCCAAGAATAAATAAATGTTAAACTTAACTAAACGATAAATGCATATTTATAAATGTTTAAAACAAGAATTCTATAATACACTAAAGGAAAACTATATATGTAATTGTGCTAAGGCAGAATTTAATGTATTCCAAGCTACCAAAGCGAAAAAAAGCCATTAACTACGTGGAACCAAACAATGTAAACGCAAAGCTAACAACAAATACGAAACACAAAATACAAATACAAAATACAACTCATTTCCCTAAAGTACAAAGGAAACGAAAGAAAAGCCTATTTTTCAGTTAAGCCCTCAAAAACCACACCATCTAAAAAAGACCAAAAACTGGAAAGTATTTAACGAAGTGATTTGGTTTCAAGACAACCTAACGTATTCAAGCCGAAACCGAACCGAATCCAAATAGATTTAGCAAGTAAAAGAGCAGAAAACTATGTATTTCCAACAACCAGACACAAGTATACCAACAAAGAGATTCAAAGCAACTAATAACAAAAAATCGAAACAATAAAGACATTTTTGTGTGTATGCAAAAAAAAATATAACTGTGTGGTTTGAAATTGAATTTTTTACCGGGGATGAAGGGGCGCTTTGAAATTCGAAAAACGAAAGAGGTTCAAAAATTAGATCAAAACATAATTTGAAATAATAACGGTCACACTTTAGCGGTTAACATATTTTCGTTAGCGAGTATACGCTCCAAATTTAGCGAGTAAAACTACCACATTATTATTGTGAGTAATGACCGCTTTTTAGAGATGGCATCGTCGATACACAAGCCACGTCTATCGATAGTTAGCGGGGACTTACCTCGTAGTTAACGGGGACTTACTCCGCAACAGAGACACGTTAAAAATAGAAGAACATCGATAAAAGCTAAATTCACTTCAGTTGTTGCACACTGTAATCTTTTGACTGAATTCTAGCACTGTTAACTACTAAATATTCTTGGTAATACATTATTGTTAGGAATAATACTTTAAATAGCCAAAATAAATGTTGGTAAAATTTATTTATTAGCTGAAAAATAAACAACTAAAAATTTTTATTATTTTGAATTTCTTCAGTTTTGTAATCATTAAAAAACTTCTATGATAACTGTCAAACATCGATAAGACCGATATTTATAAAAAAACCGATGACAGCAGCCTAATTAATCGAAACGTCGATACCATCATCGATGTGGCATCGATGTTTTCTACATAACAGTAGGTTACGAAGCAAAGCAAAGCAAATACAATGCAAATTTTGCAGTAAAAAGTCACAACAATCACCATAATTTACAAGTGAATTTTCCGAGAGCCATAAGAAAACAAAAGTACGTGGAAATGGTTGAGAAAAGCGAATGAAAGCGAAACGCAGTAACGCGAATGTGTGTCCAAGTGTGGGTGTGCAGTGTTGCTCAATTCTCTTTCGTCAGCTGCTGTGAGTGTGTGTGCGAGTGTGGTTTTTCGAAAAGTGAGAAATAAATTAAAGGAAAAGCGATTTTCTAAGGTGCCAGCAAACAACAGAAACCGTAGATAATAACCGATTATTATAAAAATAAAACCGAATCTAGTGCCAGTGTGTGTGTTTTTTTGTTTTTTTTTGTCATGCGCTCTCTCTTTCTCGTTAGTTTTGTTTTTGTTTTGCTGCCAAAAAACTAAGTGCAAAAACAACCACACATGGCGGATACACAGGAAAAATTACAAAGCAACAGTTGCAAACTGCGCCATGCTTTTCATTTAATGTTAAGTTTTCTTAAATGTGCTCAGTATTAAATATAAACTGTGTGTGTGTGCTAGTGAAAGCTCCGAAAGGAAATCGAAATTCGTCTACAAGAAAGAGCAATAAAACAGAGCGAGAGCACACTCCATTCCTTTAAGCTTTACCTAAACTTTTGCTTTGCTTTCTTATCCTTACTTTGTCTTTTCTTCAGTTTTTGGTAGCAAAGTTTAAAGAAATAAATATACAATAAATGCAGCAATAACAACAACCACAGGAATAACAAGGACAAGGACACTCATCACAAGTCACCCACGCGCAAGAGAGAAAGAGACGGCAGACAAACACACACTACCCGTCACTCGCTGCAATTGTTTTGTTTTTGTCATTCAACCCAGAGCGACAGATAGAGAGAGAGAGTGAGAGAGGAGCGCGAACGACAAAGCGAGTGCGAGCGAGAGCAACGATGGATCGCTACGACATGGAGGACGTCGTGGTGGCGCCCCCTGCCGAGTGCGGTTCGCCGCTCAAGGAGTGGCGCCTCAAGCTCCAAGCGGGCACACTCGCCCGCTCCGACTTCATTGAGTACTTCAAGCGCGAGTCGCCCAAGTACTTCGATTACCAGACGGGCGGTACGGAGACAGGTGAGTCCGGGTTCCAGATGATACATATGTAGTATGTAGTAACTGTCAATGCAAACGCCATATCGTAGCAGCGCTGCAGAGCTATTTTTGTTTTGATTATCTAGGATAATAAAATAATTAATTAAATCAATAGCAAAAAGCTTTAAATTTATACAGATAATTTATGTAAACAATATTATTAACACATTTATTAACACATCGGCGTAAACCTGCGTTATTGCGTTCGGCAAACAACTGATTTTTGTTTTGATATTTTCTAGGAAATTGCAGAAAACTAGGAAATCAAAAGCAAAATGAGAACAAAATTCAAATAAAATTTATTAAATTGTATATCAATATAGACATTGTTATTTATTTTTATGTATATATGACATACATAAACGTAATAGTGCTGAATCACCGCAAATCTGCGATATTGCGTTCAAAAACAGCTGTTTTTGTTTGTATCAACATTTAAAAATGTAGGATAACAATAGTTTTCCAGTAAAGACTTTTTCAATTAGACCAGGGACAATATAAAACATATATTTAAAAGTGCGACCGGCACAATCTACCAACTTGATTTATAATAAGTCATATAGAATCTGTAGAATAGAATTTGTAGCATTATCAGTAGCAAGTAAAGTTAAAGGAATACAGTTATAACAAAAATGTGTCATACTCTTTGTGTCATCACCTTGGCATTCCAATATAACAAAGAAATAATATCCTTGGTTTTTAGTGGCTTAATGTATTGAACGGCGCACTCTGTCCACATTTTATGATTTCTTATTATTAAAAATTGATAGACGTAAACACGGGTAACTATTTGTTCTTAAGATTTTAAGGAGTGGTTTGGGGGCTATAGCCATCACTTTTCGATTAGTTTTTCTGCAACGAAATAATATACTAAAGTATATGGATTATGTTATCCGTTATATCTTTCCAAAACAAAAACAAATGAAGGAACACAAAATTAACAAAAGTTGTTAACTAGCTGTTTAAAATAAACTCATGAACTTGCAAATCAAATTAAGTTTACTAAAGTTTGATGGCGTTTAATGTGGGAAATATAAGATATATTTTATCAAAAAAAAGTGCAATATAATGCAATACGAGTATAATACCAAATCGATGGGGGCGTGAAAATGTTGGTCGAATCCCATTAAAAACTCTCGCTCTTGAATTATCATTATTCGCCGTGTGTTTTAGTGTTATTTTCGTTCTGCTTTCGGCTTTTGTTTATTGCCATTGAACAGTTGCACGCTTTTGTTGATTTTGTTGCTGCTCTCACGTTTTGTCTATTTCGCATTTCCGCGAATTCGGTTTGCACTGCGTCGTGCTTTAATGCGCCAAGTTTTCCTTTCAATTGCCTACCAAACTGGCCGGCTCCACCCCCCGCCCACCATTAACCTGTCCACCTTCTCGATTTTCTACCTGTCTCACCTTTTATGCACACTCACAACTTTAACACTCAAAAAGATACTGTGCTTTTCTATATTTTAGTGTTTTTCTTCCATCGGGTAAAAAAAATTCTAAAATGATAATAAATTTGCTTTATAAAGGTGTTTTTTTTCGAAATATTCTCGAATAAAGCTTATTATCTTATTCAACTTATCATTTTTTTTTATTTAAGAGGTAATTTTTGTAGTGAATTTTCCATATTTTTGAAAAAACTTCCATTTATATATTTTTCTATTATCAGCAAATACTTTTTACAAAAATGCAATCAATTTTTTTTGTGTGTATGCAAGTTGTTTCAACAAAAGCTTAAAGCCTGGCCCGGCCTGGCAACAAATAAATTAAGTAAACAAACTCGTTTGCACCACATTCCGTCAGAAGTTCATATTATTGGAAGCTAAAGGCAAAACGCGAGTGTTGAAACAAACAAATTGGGAGAATCTAGGAAAACATTTGTGTACTTACTTATATGGAATAGAGTTTCTGTTTATAACATATTGATTTAATAGGAAATGCAATACAGAGGGGCACCCCCCGATAAAATGTGTTTATATGCTAGCAAAACTAACTGCCTTGGGCACAAACATTCGCTGTTGATAAAAAAATATAGTATGTGACTGAAAAGTAAATGAACTTAGGATTTAGTCGAATTGCAGTATTTGAAGAATGGCCAAAAGCTGTTTGGGAAATTACTTTTATCTCTTTCAATTTTTTTCATTTATGTATATTATTTATAAATACACCTGGATTCCCTGGATTCATTCATTAATCCCTTTTGTAATACGCATATTTCCGCCAATTCCCCTAACGATGTTTACTTTCCGCCTTCGCCAATCGGCCTCTTACCCTTTTTTCACGGCTTCTGCGCTTATCAGCTGGCAAACATGTGGACGGCATGGCATGGCCATAGCTATAGCGGTGCGGTGTTGCCATAGCTATATCCCCTATATATAGCTCCTGCTGATATATGCCTGCTGTCTTATTGGTCGTCGTTGACAAGCACTACACCAAAGTCCCAAAGTCTTGGTGCTGGAGATGACGAAACACGAGGCGAGAACGAAACACCAGACTTCGGCTGATGACTGATGACTGATAAGACAGAGAGTTAAATATTAAATACATATGTACATATGTTATGTACATCTGTATTCTGCAGCAGTTTATTCAACTTGCGTTTATCTGGTCCAGAATTCCGCACATTTCTGACGTGTCACCTTTTTCTCAGTGTTTTTTTTATATCTTAGTCAAGCGCATTTTAATTTGTATTATTTTTTGTTAAATTGCGTAATATATAATATAATGTTAGTAATATTCAGCTTATGTTCTGAAACAATTTAAAGTAGTTTTTGTCGGTTTATTCAAGGGCTGTTTTAAAAGTTACATTAAAAGTTGACTTACAATACATTTACTATTTTAAAATGCTAGAAGATGATTCACATGTAGGTGCCATGAAAAACAGTTTTGTATTTGTCTTTTGAGGAATGTTATTTATACTTGGCCAAGTGGTTTTATTGTCCCATTAAATCAAGTCTAAATAATTACAATGTATTTCTTTCTTACATTTCTTCCTCATATTTGCCATTAGCAATTGTTTTGTTTCCTTTTCGGTTTTCTGTTTTCTGTTTTCGCTTTCGTTTCTTTGGGTAAAAAACAACACACAGCTGACACAATTTTAGGCAATGCTATTTGCAATCGCACATATTATAATTTATTTTATAAGTGTAGGTGTCTG